ACAACCAAGAACAGTATTCACTGATTACCTTTAAAAATAATTCATAGTAACAGTTTGGTAACAATTATTTAAATTATTTTACAGAGTACAAAATGTTTAATTCCCAAAATTTTAAAGGTGTTTTGAAAAACACATTGGTAAATGGCAATGTTTTAACCTTTATTTATTAAATGTTACAGTCCAAGTGTACATATAAAAGCCTGGGTAATTTAGCAAAATGTGTTAAATATTTTATCTACACTTATTGTATAACTGCTGTTTTTTTGGTGTAATTACATGGTTTTGTAAATAAATTTTCCTCATGCCAGCTTGGTTAAGCTAGTTATTTAATGGAATTTAAAATTTCTTTCATAATAATGAGATGTTTACAGATTTAATGTCAGGGATTCATCAGAGTCACTTCAGTCACCATCCAGGATAATCACCCGATCACAGTCACCTGAGTTCTGATCACCCGCACCTGCTGTCACCAATTAAGCCGCACTACAAATACACACACATCTCAGTCACTCACTGTCCGGTCTACCGTTCACTCCTATGAACTGTTCTGGACTCTCTCTACTTAATTCTCCTAGAAAGACTTACCTCCTGTTCTTCCTGTGATCCTCCAACGACTCCTTGGAATCTGTTCCACGATCTCCAACGAAACCGGCATCAGATACTCACCATCAGAACTCGGATAAGAACCCTGGAGTCATTCACTGTGTTGACACTCACCTGTCTTTACCTCACCCGTTCCATTCTTCTGCTAATCAAGTCAATAAACCATCCTGTTTTGCACTTACCTGTTGTGACTGGCCTTGCTTTGTGACAGATAACCGGACCAATACATTTACCTCCATGGATCCTCGACCTTCCACACCCACAGAAGTCCTGGAGGAGCTGGTAAACGCCCTCCGGGCTTCCCTGCTTCCTCCGGCAACCCCCCAATCTGCCTCTGTCAGTCCCATGGCCATGCCTGTTTCATACGCGAATGATGCAGCTGAGTGTGGTGGCTTCCTCCTGCAAGTGGCCTTGTTCATTGAGATGCAGCCGCAGAAGTTTTCCACCGAACGCACTAAGGTAGCATTCCTGATCTCACTTCTTAACGGAAGAGTGCTGTTGTGGGCTAAGGCCATATGGAATGCAAATAGTGCCATAATTAATTCTTATGATGCCTTCACTAACCATTTCAAAGAAGTCTTTGGTCACACTGCAGGAGTGCTATATGTGTCCGATCAGTTACTGCGGCTACGCCAAGGCACGTCTTCCATTAACGACTACACACTGCGGTTCAGAACGCTGGCGGCGACTAGCGGGTGGAATGAGGTGGCTCTACTTAGCTCTTACCAGCAAGGACTGAATCCCCGTGTACAAGCTCAAATGGCTATCTATGATGATTCCGTTGGACTGGAAAGCTTCATGCAAAAAGTCAACCGAATTTCCCAATGTCTGTCCACATGCCACGCCACCTAAGCCGCCCACCAGTCTGTCACGCCCAGCATGGGTTCCCAGAGCCGATGCAAGTAGACACCTCCCGGCTCACCCCTTCTGAATGTGCTCGCCGTCTCGCGGCGGGTCTTTGCCTTTACTGTGCTGCGGCGGATCATTATGAATGAGGTGGCTCTACTTAGCTCTTACCGGCAAGGATTGAATCCCCGTGTACAAGCTCAAATGGCTATCTATGATGATTCAGTTGGACTGGAAAGCTTCATGCAAAAAGTCAACCAAATTTCCCAGCGTCTGTCCACATGCCACACCACCGAAGCAGCCCACCAGTCTGTCACGCCCGGCATGGGTTCCCCAGTACCAGAGCCGATGCAAGTAGACACCTCCCGGCTCACCCCTTCTGAATGTGCTCGCCGTCTCGCGGCGGGTCTTTGCCTTTACTGTGCTGCGGCGGATCATTATATCAGGACCTGCCCAGTCAGACCCCCATGTCCTGCGGTGAGTACCCTCCAACTAGACCCTGTCATTTCCACGCTGTCAATGCTATCGGTACAACTACTCACCCCAGACTTTTCTGTTTCAGTCCCTGCCCTCGTCGACTCGGGCTCCTTGGGCAATTTCATATCCCAGGACCTATTGAATCGTCTCCATCTGCCTCAGAAATGTCATGCCCAGGAGCTCCGAGTCGAGACCATCTAGGGAAAACCGCTAGGACAGGGGTGGGTGAAATATCGAGCACCGACACTAATGCTCAAGATTGGCACTCTACACGAGGAGGAAATCATGTTTTTGGTACTGGAGGGACCCACCGTGGATATCATCCTGGGACGCCCCTGGCTAGTTCTCCATTGTCCAGAGATCAGATGGGACTCGTGTGACCGCAACTGTCTCACGTCATTACCTACTCCGCTCCCAGGATCTCACTCAGCTCAAGTTGCATCTACCCTCATCGAAAGCCCCGAACCTCGAGAGAAGGTCACGGTCCCATCTGATTACTTGGCGTTCCAGGATGTCTTCAGTAAGCAGGCAGCCACCCAGTTACCACCTCATCGGCCATGGGACTGCGCCATTGACTTGCTGCCTGGAGCAAAACTCCCCAAGGGTAGAGTATACGCATTGTCCATCCTGGAGCGCAAGGAGGCTCTTAACCAAGGATTCATCTGACCTTCCACATCTCCAGCTGCTTCTAGTTTCTTCTTCGTGAGCAAGAAGCCTTGCGGCCTTGTATCAACTATCGGACTCTGAACTCCCATACGGTGAAACTGCCCTATCCACGTCCCCTGGTCCCGGCCGCCCTCGAGGAACTCCGTGGGGCCTGCATATTCTCGAAGCTGGACCTGAGAAGTGCCAACATTCCTGGAGCGCAAGGAGGCTCTTAACCAAGGATTCATCTGACCTTCCACATCTCCAGCTGCTTCTAGTTTCTTCTTCGTGAGCAAGAAGCCTTGCGGCCTTGTATCAACTATCGGACTCTGAACTCCCATACGGTGAAACTGCCCTATCCACGTCCCCTGGTCCCGGCCGCCCTCGAGGAACTCCGTGGGGCCTGCATATTCTCGAAGCTGGACCTGAGAAGTGCCAACATGTTCAGCAGGTCCTACAGAAGCTCCGTCAACACCATCTCTTCTTAAAGCTGGAGAAATGCGAATTCCATCGCCCCACAGTGCATTTCCTGGGTTACATCGTCGGCCAGGAAGGAATTCAGATGGAATAGGGGAAGGTTGATGCAGTCAAGGAGTGGTCTCTTCCCCAGACCGTAAAGGAGCTCCAGAGATTTCTGGGATTTGTTAACTTCTATCGTCGATTCATCAAGGATTTCAGTTCCCACACTGCTCCTTTGACTTCCATGCTCCGAGGAAAACCCAAGTCCCTGTGCTTGACCACCAGTGCCCACGAAGCTCTCACAAAGCTCAGAACAGCCTACAGCACAGCCCCCATCCTTCATCATCCTGATCCGGACATTCCGTTCATAGTGGAAGTGGACGCCTCCACCACCGGCGTGAGCCTCCTCGCCTCCAGCCTTGCGCATACTATTCTAAGAAACTGACCCCAGCGGAGCAGAATTACGACATCGGCAACTGGGAGTTGTTGGCTATCAAACTTGCCCTGGAGGAGTGGCGGCACTGTCTGGAGGGAGCAAACCATCCGTTCACAGTAATTACTAACCACAACAATCTTCAATACCTCAGAGAAGCCAAGAGACTTAACCTTCACCAAGCCTGCTGGGCATTGTTCTTCACCAGGTTTCAGTTCACCATCACCTATCATCCCGGGAATTGTAACAATAAAGCCGACGCCCTCTCACGCATGTACTCTCCAGACACACCTTCCGATCCTGAGCCCATTCTCCCTCCAGCCCTGATTGTAAGCCCCATTCAATGGAACATCGACGAGGACATTTGAGCCACCACTCTTACCGAACCTGCTCCGCTGGGAGGCCCAGAAGGGAAAATGTATGTGCCCACTTCCCAACGACAATCCCTTCTGGGCTCAGTTCACGATGTACTGGGCTCTGGACACCCAGGCAGCCAACGGACCCTCTCGCTCCTCCAAGCTCGGTACTGGTGGCCCAGTATGACCCGTGATATCATCAGGTACGTCCGCAGTTGCTCAGTCTGCGCCATGTCCAAGACCCCTCGTCACCTCCCCGTAGGCAAGCTAGTGCCCCTGCCGATCCCACATCGACCCTGGTCTCACCTGGGAATCAATTTTGTGACTGACTTACCCAGCTCAGATGGGTATACCTGCATCTTGGTAGTCGTAGATCGTTTTTCCAAAGCCTGTAAGCTAATCCCCCTCAAAGGACTTCCAACTACTCTCGACTCTGCAGAAAGTTTGTTCACACACGTCTTCAGAAAATTTGGAGTCCCAGAGGATGTAGTCTTTGACAGGGAACCTCAGTTTATCTCCCGCGTTTGGAGGGCATTCTTCAGGCTACTAGGGGTCACGGTCAACTTATCATTAGGCTACCATCCCCAGACAAATGGCCAGACTGAGCAGAAGATCCAGGAACTCGGGCGTTACCTCCGGGCATACTGTCATGACGACCAAAACAGCTGGAGCAGGTTCCTCCCTTGGGCCAAGTATGCACAGAATTCCCTGAGACAGACCACCACCGGCCTCACGCCGTTTCAGTGCATACTCGGTTACCAGTCCCCGCTCTTCCCGTGACAGGAGAACCGTCGGAGGTTCCAGCTGTAGACCACTGGTTCCAAGTGAGCGAGAGAGTGTGGGACTCCGCTCACCTCCATCTCCAACGTGCAGTGCGGAGGCATAAGGCCTTCACAGATGCTCGGCGTACTTCCACTCCCACTTACCATCCAGGAGAAAAGGGTAATGTCAGGGATTCATCAGTCACTTCAGTCACCATCCAGGATAATCACCCGATCAGTCACCTGAGTTCTGATCACCCGCACCTGCTGTCACCGATCAAGCCGCACTACAAATACACGCACATCTCAGTCACTCACTGTCCGGTCTACCGTTCACTCCTATGAACTGTTCTGGACTCTCTCTACTGAATTCTCCTAGAAAGACTTACCTTCTGTTCCTCCCGCGATCCTCCAACGACTCCTTGGAATCTGTTCCACGATCTCCAACGAAACCGGCATCAGATACTCACCATAAGAACCCTGGAATCATTCACGGTGTTGAGACTTACCTGCCTTTACCTCACCCGTTCCATTCTTCTGCTAATCAAGTCAATAAACCATCCTGTTTTGCACTTACCTGTTGTGTCTGGCCTTGCTTTGTGACATTTAAGTCATGTTATTTATGTATTATAATCTATATAATTAAAATGAAAGTAAACGTTTTGTCTAGGTAACGTTATCAATTTAAAATGAAATATTAATGAGCAGTACAGTAGCTATAGAAATGAAACTGGACTAAGTCTGGCGTGCTGCACAACGGGCCGAGTCCGGCTTGGATGTGGCAGTGTCAGCGAGTTACGGCCGTCGCATCTGGTTTGGTTGATTTGGCCCAAAATCTGAAAGTGAGTACACAGGCATCCAGGCCGTGTGCGGCAGATGGATCCCAGCCGATGGACAAGTCTCTAGCAGGTGAATATTTAACTGAAAATGGCCTGAGTGTACAGAGAGGGATTGTGTATGAGGTAGATATAAATAGCCTATCAGCAAACGTCAAATTAGTAAGTTTTCACTAGACTTTAGTGGAGTCAGCAGTTCGCTTGACAGTAAATAACGATCTAATCCTAAAGTATCTATTTATTTTTTTTAATCCCATTGTTTTTTGTTGTTGAAGTGTTATTTTGGTTTCCGATCACCAAGGAGAGGTTACTAAAGGTCCTAAAAATGGTGGCCGCAACAAAAGTCACGTGACTGAAACCCATGAATAACAATGGTAATAATAATAATTACTGCTGAAATAACAAATGGCAGCTTCTGTCCTGGGCTTCTAAGTGGGCAGAGTAGAGGCAGATATTACCAATTCATTTTCCTCCTCTGCTGAACACCTTGTGACTTTTGGCAAGACATATGCAAAGCAAGACAGGTCTGGGAGTTTCTGCACAGCATGGGATCTGTCCAGATGCTGCTCAGCAGTGCTGCTGGAGGATGTGTTCTCTCCTCTCTGAAGAGGGTGTTAAGAAAAAAGGTGATTCAAGGGCTCTTTCTGTCACTTGCTAAAGAGAATACGTTAAGTAGTGTTCTCTAACACTAGCACTCTGTTTTATTTATATTCTGTCTACTTGTTTTGTTTTATTTATTATATTTAAATAAAATTAACCTCTAACACTAGCACTCTATTCTATCTACTTTTCATTCTTATTTATTATTTTAAAAAATAATACTTGCTATGTGTGCTGCGTATTGTAATGTTGCTCTTTTGTTGGTTTGATTGCTTCTGTTGTCCTCATTTGTACGTCGCTTTCGATAAAAGCGTCTGCTGAATGATTACATGTAAATGTTTTTTCCTCTTAGCAAGCGTTTACATCAGGCTCTAAGGCTAGACTGATGACGTGACTGGCACATTTCACTTATATTTATGGACTGTCTTCTGACAGATCCGGCACAGGGCTTGTGGACAGAGCTGCTGACTTCTGTGTACTGATCAGAATATTTTATACATGTTGTATGTATTATACAAGCTTTATATTATTATTAATTTTTTCCCCCCAAATGTTGTCCCTGGCTATACATTTTCTTCACTTTCTCACAACTAGCTGAGTGTTTTATGTCCTGTATTTTCTTACTTAAGATAATTAAAAATTTTAAATCAATGTAAAACTGCACAGCCTTCATGTGTGACACATAATAAGCAAACCTGTACAGATTAAAGAACATGAATGATGAACTGACACCAGCTGTGAGTAAAGAAACCAAATGTGACATTTTTTACAAATGCAAATGTCATTCATACAGACCATAAAACAAATATATAAACATAAGAAATCTGTTTGCTGTCAGTTTCGACCCCCTCACATTCATTCCTTCATCTTCATCTTCATCTTCCACACTGAGCTCTACATCATCAGCTCTCACACAGAAACACACAAACCTCCTCCGCTGCTTTAGTAAGTGTGTCTCACACACCTCTCCTGCTCACTGCCAGAAATGTGATTCTCTGAGATTTCCCCCATTTTGTTGCTTTGGTAAGAAAGCACATGCTAACACTGAAGCCTCGTACCTCTGTCACTCGATGGACATACTCAGAGGGGACGAGATCAGCTGCTGCTGGTCTGGAGGTGATCCAGATGAGAGCAGAGGGAAGCAGATTCCCCTCAATGAGGTTCTTCAGCAGCACGTCCACTGAGGCTGATTCAGATATATTACACAGTTTCACATTGCTCTTAAAGTCCAGAGGCAGACGACACTCATCCAGACCATCAAAGATGAACAACACTTTATATTCACCACTGGATATTTCTATTTCATTTGTTTCAGGGAAGAAAATCTGCAGAAAATCTGAAAGACTGAGTGATTTGTCCTTCATCAGATTGATTTCTCTGAAAGGAAGTGGAAATATGAGCTGGACATCCTGATTCTCGTTCCCTTCAGCCCAGTCCAGGATGAACTTCTGCACAGAGACTGTTTTTCCAATGCCAGCGACTCCCTTTGTCAGCACAGTTCTGATGGCTTTGTCTTGTCCAGGTAAAGGTCTAAAGATGTCACTGCATTTGATGGCTGTGTCCTCTGTTGCTGCTCTCCTGGATTGTGTCTCAATCTGTCTCACCTCATGTTCATTACTGATCTCTCCACTCTCACTCTCTGTGATGTAGAGCTCTGTGTAGATCTCATTCAGCACTGTTGGGTTTCTCTGCGTCGCTGTTCCCTCATACAGACACGCAAACTTCTTCATCAGATTTGATCTAAACGTGCTGAGGTCTTCATTTCTGTAAAATAAAAATTCCACATTATTGCTCGAGTTAATAAGCCCAATGTCTCATATATTCTATATCATATCTTCAATTCATATATTTGACATAAATGTCATACCTGAAAGCAGGCCGTGTATCTCCACTCTTGAATTGTTTTTGACAAACCATAGACTCATTACTCTTTGTAGACACACAGCTGGACGCTTCTGTTCTCTTCTGATGAACTGGACTAAACGGAGAGAGACTGTATGCAAATTATTGTATGTAAAGAGCACTTTGTAATCAGTTCAATCACTGAAAAAATAGTGAACTGAACTGTGATAATATATGATAATGTAAAATGTCATGTAATAATCATATTTTTATACAAACGTTATACCTGAGATCAGGCTGTGTATCTCCACTGTTAAACTTAACTGGTGCACGCATAGACCCGTCACTCTTCATAGACACACAGCTGGGCTCTGCTTCTGATCTCTTCTGATGAACTGAGCTAAAACAGAACAGATTTAACCCTTTATTATGAGAATCATCTTAATATAATAAGATAATCATCTTAATATACTTCTAAATGTATTTTTATGAAAAACAGTTTTGGAGCCTTTATGGTCTTATTGTTTTCAATTAATATTAAACTTATAAAAAAATAGTTTATTTTGAGTATGGTTTAACATAAAAGGTTATTTAATGTGTTACTCAAAGTACCTGTGTTCTGGAAAAAAACAGTCATCTCCAGATGTTTGTGTTTGATCCATGATAAATCTGAATAGTTTGATCTCCACCGCTGACAAACAAGTGAAGAGACAAACAATCACAAACACTACAGTAATTAAACAGCCGTATATTGCTGTAAATTGTTTTATTAAACATTTAAACATATTCTGTATTGTAAATAATTGTCTGTTTAAAATGGCTAAACATCACCTCTGTTCATTTACATTCACTTTTGTACCATTCTCGTCACAAGGGCACTATATGATCTTTATCAAATGTGATTTGACATTACAGTCCATCTCTCATATTTTCTTGTACCGTTAAATTGTGAGATGGGAATATGCATACAGTATGTAAATTGTATTAAAAGGAGGTTATGCATAGTAAACTAGGTGTGTAAGCTCCATATCTGGTTATTTCATGGAAGACACGGGGTGCGGATGAATGTAAACAAAATCTTCTGCAGGATTTATTTGTGCCTATGCAAAATCTGCCTTCTCTGCACAGGCACACTTTGAGAATGAAATCGATGCAACGTTTTATACATACATACATACATATACAGTATATACAAACGCACACACATACGGTATGTATATATATATATATATATATAGATATATATATATAGATATATATATATGAGAAGTGCTCACTAACACAGATTTAGACAGATTTGTGAACAATATTTGAGAGAAATAGTCCTTTTGTGTATATAGAAAAAGTCTTAGATCTTTGAGGTCAGCTCATGAAAAATGGGGACAAAAACAAAAGTGTTGTGTTTATATTTTTGTTTAGTATATATATATATATATATATATATATATATATATATCTATATATAGATATATATATATATATATATATATATAGATATATATCTATATATCTATATATATATATATATATATATATATATGAGGCCCCTGGTGCATGCCTGTTAGCATATTTATGGTGATTTGTGGAATGGGCTTGACACCTTTTTCATGAGCTGGAACAATAAACAATATGTTGTTTGTGCATAATAACAACTGTGGGGGACACATTACACATATCAATATCAGCATAAATTATAACACTGCTATATTAAAATCCTTCAATAGAAGAGATTTAGTCCTCAGCTTGTCAGCTTGTTCACTGAGTCATAAACACGTTTTTAAATATATATATATACAGTATATGCACTGAACAAAATTATAAGTCAGTATCTGGTGTGACCACCATTTGCCTCACGCAGTGCAACACATCTCCTTCGCATAGAGTTGATCAGGTTGTTGATTGTGGCCTGTGGAATGTTGGTCCACTCCTCTTCAATGGCTGTGCGAAGTTGCTGGATATTGGCAGGAACTGGAACACGCTGTCGTATACGCCGATTCAGAGCATCCCAAACATGCTCAATGGGTGACATGTCCGGTGAGTATACTGGCCATGCAAGAACTGGGATGTTTTCAGCTTCCAGGAATTGTGTACAGATCCTTGCAACATGGGGCCGTGCATTATCATGCTGCAACCTGAGGTGATGGTCGTGGATGAATGGCACAACAATGGGCCTCAGGATCTCGTCACGGTATCTCTGTGCATTCAAAATGCCATCAATAAAATGCACCTGTGTTCCTTGTCCATAACATATGCCTGCACATACCATAACCCCACCGCCACCATGGGTCACTCGATCCACAACGTTGACATCAGCAAACCGCTCACCCACACAACGCCATACACGCTGTCTGCCATCTGCCCTGTACAGTGAAAAACCGGGATTCATCCGTGAAGAGAACACCTCTACAAAGTGCCAGACGCCATCGAATGTGAGCATTTGCCAACTCAAGTCGGTTACGATGACGAACTGCAGTCAGGTCGAGACCCCGATGAGGACGACGAGCATGCAGATAAGCTTCCCTGAGACGGTTTCTG